ACACCGCAAACAAAAAAATTCTTGTATTTTGTTTGTTCTTGGTTATTTTTTACTGATCTTTTATTTTATATTGCAGCCTTCAGAGAATGGCCATCAGGTAAGTAAAAGGCATGTAACTTCCTCCTGTGCTTTGTGCCACGGTTTGGGTAGTAGATGCACTATGCCGCGGCTCATTAATGTGTACTCGTAGTTTATGCAGGACCCACAAGCAGCAAAAGCATTAAAACCATTTGGCACATTATCATTGAGAAGATCCCAAATTGATAGACAACGAGTAAGCTCTCAGTTAACATGAATTGTCTCTTATATGTTAGCAGAGACATGTCTCTTAGCCTTTGTTGGGTTGGAGGGGTTTTGAGGAAAGTAAGGGAGTGTTGTGTCTTTGGTTGGGGAATCGGGGTGGTGGTGAGTTTGGGGGAGTTGAAGACCTATAGACTCCTCCAATCTCACACCTCTCAATTTTCGCCATTTCAGAAGAGTTATATTTTCTTAAATTTTTTTCACCTTTTCGAATCAAAAATTTGTTGTTGTTTTGTTGTTAAATCAGAATTTTTTACACTATTATTGTTATTCATATTGAATACTTAGTTATAATTACAAGCTTGCAACACAAATTATGTCAAGTATAATACTTTTTATATATTTATATAAAATAATAAAATTTCCATTGAACCAAACATAACATCTTTTTGAAGTTCTCAATTTTCATCCTTTCCCTTCAAATCAAACACAGGCTAAATTCTTTTTTTAAGAGGAAAGAAATCTGCTTACAGAATATGAATTAAATGTAAAATTGATGTAAACTGATTTTGTCATTTTATTTTATTTATTATGTAGGAGAGTGTGGATATTCTTTTCAAATGTATTAAAGAAGATCTCGCTTTCAGCAAAGGAAAACCAGTTGCGGCATTTACGATATACAAATGCCTTCTTCACTGGAGATCCTTTGAGGTGGAGAGAACTAATGTATTTGATCGCCTCATTCAGGTTATTGGTTCTGCTATAGAGGTAAGTTTCATATCTAAAATTTATAATTAATATGCCTCTGCTGGAATATTACTAGTGCTTGTGAGTTGTGACTTCTATACTCTTTTTCATTGAAATTTAAAATAGAAGTATGCAAAAAGAATTGAAGTATGGTTTTTTTAGATTGTTTTTTTGTGGGCCCAACTCTGCGAGAAATGGCTACTCTTTTCCTTCATTTCTCTTACCATTTTCTTATCCATCACTTCAGCAGAACTTTTTAGTATGTATTTTTTCCTTCTGATAGAAGAATTGAATTATATTTATTTAAAAGGAAAGATTAGAAAATTTCCTCTACGTTAAAGTGGGGAAACAGGATTCTCAAATAATGAAGTCAAGCATATCGTGCAAAATTTCTTCTACGTTAGGTAATTATTCATCTTTAGAATAGTTCATGGCACATGCAGTGTCATAGCTCTCTCATAAACCTTAGCAGATGCGGATTGATAAACCCCAATCTTTCTGAAGGTCCAATTATTTATACTCATTGAGCTTTGCTGATACACTTAGGTTGTATTTGAATCCCGTAAATCCTAGGAAAAAGAAAAAAATTACCAATGAATATTGCTTTTTTACTAAGTGTGTGTTAGTATTGTGATTTCGTTGTTATTTTCACATGTTTTGTGGAGTGACTCTGCATGTAGTGTATGTTCCTATTATTTTTGGGGGTTTGGGGGGGGGGGGGGGGTTA